ACAACGAAGTACGAAGACGAAGGCATATTTGACAATTTTTGCCGTCTGCACATTATCTTGTGCACACTGTGTTGGACGTCACTGGTGGTTGCTCAACGTGTCTTCCCATGTGTCGCTGTTTATGAATACTGACCATAATTCTTGCCATGATCCAGAAAAAAACAGCGAGACATGAAACTATATCCCGTCTTTGTCCTTGTGCCTTCGTGCAGAACGAAGTTCACAACGAATTTTTCCAAAATATTCGTTGTGAACGAAGGCAGAAGAACGAAGACGGGATATGGATTCATGTCTCGCTGTTTTATCCTGATCAGGGTAAGGATTTGGGTCAGCATTAACAAACAGCTAGACATGAATCTCTAACCTGTCTTCACTCCTGACCCTAAATGCGCAAGATAATGTTCAAAACAGGCAAAATAATGCAGAATGCGCAAGATAATGTTCAAAACAGGCAAAAATTGTCAACACGTCGTCGTCGTCCGACTTCGTTCTCTTGCTCAAACTCTCTAATACCACCAGCATACGATTCAATGAATCAAAACTCAAATAGTTCTTTACAAACTTTTTAGTCATTATCAACATTTTAGCGATTTATTGCCTCTGAAAGGCAAGCGAGATTGTATATTATCAAATTACTCAATAAAAATATACACTTACACTGGCCATGCCTTTCGCCGAACACTGAACTTCGGCCACGTTACAGGGATATGTGACCTTTAGAAGAGTGCGAGGACAGCATTGTCGACAATCAATTTGTATTTCCGGTTGAAGCTCTCACTAAAAATTTAGATATTCTGAATACCGAAATAAAAGATGCAAATCTGTAGATACAAGCTTGAAAATATCACTCTGAATAGTGTTTTGGATTGTGATTCGAAGAAGACTATTACGAGAAAGATATGTTCAAAGGGGCCGAAGTGCTGTTCAGCGAAAGGTTATGCCTTGGTGAATATATTGACATTGTTTACATTGTTCGGCAAAATTGTGTGAAATATGGTACCGCGCTTGACTTCTAAAGATCGTAAATCGCTATAATGTTCATGTTTATGACATTTTACTAAAACCATCGACAGGAATTGTTTCACTGAATTGAACGATGGTATTTTCATCCACATAGCATGCACTGAATCAGAGATATGAACCTCCAAAGTAAACCGACGATATCGATCTGGTTTAATTATGCGCAAACGAAAGAGTAGGCCTAAAGCCTTTAACTACAAAGTTGCTATGCTTTTAACTACAAAATTCTATAAACCAACTTACAGCTCTTTCGTATGCCTTTAACTATAATATTGCGCACATGCGCAGACTAAAAACTGCCACACTAAACATTTTTATGGTTTTTTACATAGTGGTTAGCTGCGCATGCACAGGTAACCACAAAAACGAAACATTGTGAATACAAGCACTTTTCGAGCGAACAAAAGTCGTTTAAATATGTAAATATCCAATGGAAGTTTGTTATAAAGGAATCAAATCTAACAGAAAAACCTCAAAAAGGTTATATTTAGTCCGAGTCACTGTCATCGCTCCGGATTGACATTTAATTTAATTTAAGAGCTGGACATTTAATTCTTTGGTAGGTAAGTTTTCAATTTCTCTTGTCTCGTATATTGATTCAAAGTACCTTTTAATTAATTCACTTTCACTGTGTTCTTCATCGTCTGCGGACATTTTAATTTTTTAAAAAGTAGCCTTTAAACTCGTCTTCCATTTTGTAACAATAAAAATATTGGCTCTACGGCTTTAAATCTCGCGCGGGCCGTACGGGCTCATACGGACCGCTCGCGTAGCTAATCAGATTGCAGAAAAGTGTAAAATACGATTTCGGATCGCAAGAAAAAAAATACTTTCGGTCATTTGTGGTTTAGTCCATATAATAATTGGATTATGGTATGGAGAATTTTGCACCTGAATTTTTCATTCCCAAACAATGATAAAAATTTTCCGTCCACCGCGTCGGCACTATCATAGAACAGATTCCAAATCCTTGGTTAATTTTCGCTTTGTTCATAAAATACGGTAAGTAAATTTTTTATTACATCCATATTTTATAACATCCTAAACTTTTGTTTATGTTAAAAAATTGAAATACTGTAATTTTGGGGTCGCACTTTTTTAAAAAGATATTTACGGTTTCCAAACTTACCAACCCTATCTGCACTGTTGCAAAAGTAAGAAAGATTTTGTGAACAGTTTGAAGTTAGATAAATTGTCTCATTTCTCACAAAACTACAACCATTACAACCAACATCAGCAATTATTATTTCCCATGTATCCCATTCTTTGAATAAGCTGCCATTCAGCCATGTCCAGTTAGCATGTGTATCAATAGTACTTTCGTAGAGCTTCCCTGTCCAAACCAATGGCGTTTCCACATTTTGAAAGGTAGGCCTATTAAAGAGTGAATCTTTGCAATTGGAAAACTTGCCGGTATAAAGTTTGGTAGTTAATCTCTTGCAGTGGGCAAACGCACCGAAGTAGGTCATTCTGTCGTACACTGGTAGGCAACATTGGCTGTTATTTCTTTTCGAAAGATTTTTACAATGATCTAATAACGAAATGGTTTATTAACTTAGAAATATCCGTATATTTTGATTAACTTGATATTCCTTGCTAAATATTCTGGTTCTATTTTATCTTACTTCCTACATTATGGCGGGTTATATTTGGTTATATCTGGGTTATATTTGACCAACATAATGACATCAACAGTGACATTGCCTAGTTGATGAAGATACATACAGCACGGATGCATGCATGCATGTGAGGACCAAAAATTCATGCAGGTGCCAAAATTTTGCCCAAACCCAGAAAAAGTATACAGGGCCTTTTTAAGAACTCTTCTTATCTTTAACGAGTGGAAGAGTGGGAGATGGGGTCAGGTGGTGGGGTGCATCTGCGGAAAAAGGAACCAACAAGAAAGAGTGGAAATTGAAAGTGCACGTAAACCTGCAGAGGTCCACCCCGGTAAATTTATATATTATAACCCTCTGGGGTTTATAAATTCCTACATGAATTTTGCGGACACAACTTTTTATATTACTTATTTCATACATGCAGACAGAGATTTGGACACGAAATGTCAAAACACTTATCTTGACCAAGTTATCCTTGAATTCTTCCCGGTTTGCTAATTAGACAAAAGGGGCTTTCATGCTAATTTTATACATTTAAGGAATCATATATCTAATTTTAAATATTTTGAATCTATAATAATCTAACTTGACTTTTTCAGCTAGCCTTTATGCAACCTGCAACTAAAGTGTTCAGCAAATTCTATTATAAAAACGTCCTGCACAGATTATAAGCCATATTGTTTTTTAAAACAAACATATATTTCCAGGCTTACCTGATGGTTTCACACAAACTGATGACAGTAAATTGTCAGTGCATGAATTATTCCGAACAAATTGTCCGTTGATATCTGCATATTCACACACGATTCCAACTTTGAACAAATCA